CATCGATATATCAACGATATGCTGTTGCTTTGGCAGATAAAAGTAAACGTGAGTGAGAGCGAGTTCACAGAATCGTAGTCTTGACGTGCCAAAGTGGAAGTTAACCGTGTTCGGTATTACATATGGGAGGCCAGAAAATTCATATCTGCCGTGCATTATTTGCTTAAACATAGTTAGCAAATTTTCCAATAAAGGAACAAGGTCAAAATTTTTCTGGTTCACTCAAGCTTTCTATCGCCTTCCCCCCCACCCCCCCTTTTAATAATATCTTGTGAACTATGGCCAGTGCGTTCGCATGGGTGATCTCAGTCAGTTCGAAACAATTCGGATCTCTGCAATCTAAGAAAAAATAATTTAAATTAATAGTTTTAAGAGTCAACGAGTGTTAAACGGAGTCATTCAGCACTTAAACAGGATGAGGATTGTAGTTAGGAAAGGGGTATACCAGAGTAAAAACAGTATTTCTCAACGTATACGTATAATTCTTAGTCAGTGGATGTGGGCACCATTCTTTCAGTATTTATAGCAAACTCTAAAGACAAGCTGGTCAAAGAAGCCATCCCTTTCACATGAGTACAAGTAGTTTAGGATGCAAAGTCACAGGAGTAGAATGATATGGCAAGGGCCAGTAAGCAAAGGAACCACTTCCACAATCATATAGAAGTATTGTCATTAACTAAGTTCAAATTTCAGGTAATAATGAACGAATTACTTCGTAGACAAAATAACGACTGATGTGATGTGATAACGGAAAAAAAGAAAAACTCAGTTGCAGTCATTTCTTAAGGCCGAAACACACTATGCGACAAATCGCTGCGACACATCACGGCGACAAGTCGCCTCCCCTGCACTGCTGCTGCGACAAGTCGCTGCGACAAAACACTTGTGCGGTGCACGCAAGCGAATTTGGAAGAGGGGAAATGTGAATTAGTTTCCAAATTTAACATGGCGGACAGTCGAATACAGCGAAGGTCAAACAAAAGGAAGCTCTTAGTTCTGTTAATGATGCTCTTAATTTCTGGTTCGCTTTTTGGCACGTTCGATCGCTTAAGTTAAGGCAAGATATGGTCTCCACAACTTTCTTATTTCAATTTTATAACCAATTTAGCTCAGTCATTTATATTCTTGCTTTGTGCATTATGCAGATGCCAATTAATTTAACTTTCATGCAGGTCAAAGTAAAAACATGAATTAAAATAGTAGAGCCCACTTTAATTTCAGTCCTATAATTAAAGGGAATATTTGTTTTTCTAGTCCTAATTAAAGGGGAATCTTTGCTTTTCCAGTTTCCCACCATTTAAAACTCACATATCTTGTGACCAATTCCTTATATCAATGTTAGGTTTGGGTATGAGTATTGGTAAGAAACACCATGCACTAATGAAAGCTTGATCAAGAGTATTTAATGCAATTGAAATAAAAATATTACATGTTGCAATGTAGCAACTTACCCAGCAAAATTACATAATCACACAATTCCATACAAAGAAAGTCAGATAACCTGCTTCAACTTTTGAGGGCTTGAGGTAGAAAGAAATAAATATGGTAAACAGTTACAATTAATACAAAGTTGAAAGTTTAAAAGCTAAGAGATGTACATTACAATCATCAAATCCTATGCATTTTAACAAAAAAGGGTCAGTTACCATAATAACGTCTCCCAAACATTCATACATACAGGAATTCATTAATTTTTGTCACTAGGTGGTACTGTACTTATAATAGTTCCACTGAGAAAAATGCATTTTTCTAAAGTTATCTCATAGCTTATGACTGTACAGGTCATGTGGGTAGTTCCTGCTCAGGGATTGACACTTCAATTACCTCAGTAAACTGTAATCATCAGAATTGCAAGCCAAGGTGGATTTACCAAGCGCTCAAGTTTCAAAAGTAGTGACCAATTTGTTACAGTTGAATTCACTCCTTTTTGAGGCCGTCTTCAGCTTGATCATCCTGTTACATGTGAAAACATCAAATGTTATTCACATATTCAAATACTTACTTGAATCAAAGTAATAATTTTTTTAATAACCTGCTTCCTTTCACACTTGAATTCCTGATAGTGACTAGCATCTGATTTTCCCCTTTCAATATCACCCCTGAATCAAGCATTAAGGTTATGAGAATAAAGGCAATAATAATAAACTAAAGAACCTCTTGATTGTTAAACAAATTCTCCCTGCTAGAACATAATGAAATGTATTGAGAACAGTATGGAGAATATGAATACTGGTGTTAGGGTTTAAAGGGTTAATAGTGCTCCAAAAATAGTAAATATAGTGTTGGAGAGAAAGAAAGAAAGATCTTGAAACATTCTATGTTAAATGAAACTTTGTTATGAATGTTAGTTGTGATAGCAATGAAAACATCCGTGAAGCTACAATAACAATTACCTTTCCATGTAAACAAACCATGATGAAGCATGATATGGATAAATTTAATCTCACACAGTTTGAATGTAGAATCCGAAATCTAATAAACTTAATACTTGTGAATAGGAAAAAGCTCTGTGTTTTTCCTGCTTCTGTCATTCTAAATATCACAAATCAATCATGCCACCACTTCAGTGTCATTTTTTCAAGATGTGTACTTTTTCTTATGGTCATCTATTTTTAGTATCAATCTTTTACCAGCAGACATCTTAGAAGAATCAAGTCCACACTGGTGATTTCACACATTATAAGCAAGCCCTTCAACAAATTAAATTTTATTTGATCAAAAACATGAAGGGCAATAGAGGGAATTGGCTAGCACAATTCATGTTTCCTTTCTTAAGTATTCTGTGATCATTTCTTCTACCATAGGGTAAAGTTTACAGTTTCCCTCATTTCATTGTCTTCTGTTCATCTGTTTGCTTTCCTAACAATCTTAACTATTGTTGCCAACAAATGCAAGGAGCATATAAAATGTGTACAGTTATTAATGCTTTAATTCCAGAGAGTGACTAGTATCTAATTTCTCCTTTCAATATCATCCCTAAATCAAGCATTAAGGTCATGAGAATAAAGGAAATGATAATCAACTGAAGAACCTCTTGATTGTTAAACAAATTCTCCTTCCCAGCACATCAGGAAATGTATGGAGAACAGCATGGAGAATATGCATTCTGATATTAGGATGTAATGGGTTAATGACATCATGAAATCAGTTTTATACATGTGGAGTATTTGCTTGAATATATAATTGTGGTGAGTGCAAGTGCCTGGTAAACATGAGTCTATGGTCTTCTACTCTTACACCTTGGAGGGTCCTTGTGTACACAAAAATTTAAGTTCAGTGCCTTTACCAGCTTTTTTTGGCTACAAAAAGATCAACAAAGAACAACAGCCACACCAAAAAATATTTTTCATGAGACACCACTACAATGGTAGGTACACACAACTGACATGTTTGAGTGAAGCATGTCAAGCATTAAGGTATGATTGTCAGTTTGCTTTTCATTTCTTGCAAACAGCTTATTTCTACCAGCTTCAAAAACTTCTGTATCCTTGCTTTCAAAGAGAAGCATTTCCCATGAACATTTAAACATTAAAGACATAAGCTACCAGCAACAGGTTTTTCCATTGTCTCATAACATCAGATTCTCATCACATTTTTTTTTTGTTACATTTGAAAGCTTAAGAAATTTGTAATCATTACAATATAATGAAGTCCTACGTTTTAAATGTTTTAGTCCAACTAGTGACCTAGACAGAATATCTCCTTACACTATCAGTACAATCAGCACAATATCAAGCAGATGGGTAATGAGAATAAAGAAAAATATCAATTAGAGGATAATTGGTTGATCCAATTCCAAATTCTCTAACCAAACATCACAAATTGTAGGGCAGACAGTAAAGAGAATTACTAATGAACTCTTGAAAGTTAAAGGGTTATGTAATCATATGTACCAGAAAGACAGCCAATAAATGTAACATACTCCAGTAAAGTGTTATGTACAATGAAGTTTCAAACTCCCTGAGATTAAGTTGACTTCACGATTCAGATTTTAGTTTAAGAAATGTTTAATATCTCTTTACATGGGTGAAAAGAGAATGCCATTTACGAATTTTAAAATAGTAAATGCAAAAAAACTTAGAGATGGAATTTAAAAAGATTGATAAAATATGGCATAATTTATATATTCACTGAGAATTTAATCATTGGCTGGCACACAGAGATGTAAAAGAGGCTTTGTGAAAAAGACAAGGGAAATAAAAAACTCAAAAACGGCTATCGAATTAAAAAACTGTAAACAACAATTATCTACGCTAACCATGTGCTTACCAGCGTGCTTGTGAGCTCAAATTGCCAAGACCCCGTTTAATTACACGATCACAGCTCAGACGCTTCTTGCAAAATTTTTATGACTATCGATTTTAGAGATCGATTCTTCAGTTTCCGGCATTAAGAAAAATCACGTATCGCAAGCATGTTCATCATAACCCGAGCAGCAAATACGACTCGAGATGTTGAGAGAAGAGAGAGTGGCTCCATGTTTTGTGAGACAATTGAAATTATTTCCTGAAGTTCGTACGAATCGAGTAGAAAGCATGAAAACATAGCGCTGAAAAGTACCGTGACTGAACAATGAAGTTCACTCACTCAGCAGTAAAACTAATTCCAGTTTACCCGCTGTAGTGTCTAAAAATGAAGAAGTATGCCACAAAAGGCAGCCACGAAGGCGAACAACAACAGTACACACAGTACACGTTTCTTTAATAATCTTCCCGCGCTCACACTTTCCCGGATGTATACTTTTACATAAACAACCGCTGTCCTAGTATACTACATTCCCTCTCTTTCTTCGCTCAGATGGTTGACCTCGAAAGACAGAAACATAACAAACTTCCACTTTGTTTAGATACCGTAAAAGTTCAATTCGATTCCAAATGTTCAAGACAAAAATCACGCTAAACATAAACATAGCCTTGGCCGTTCAGCTTATAAAACAACGTTTCAATGTCACTCATGTAATAACAACGAACAGTAATATGAAAATGCCAATGTCACTAGTTTTAGTACAGAACGTAGTCACTCAGAGCCTTTGGACGGCTCGTAATTCTGCCGGATCTTCTCACATGCGGCTCAGCTGTAGGTACAGTAGAAGGTACATCTTCTGGTGGTGATTCAGCCATTGGTACTTGATCCTCTGCCACAGGTGGCGTCTCAAATGACTTAGGTTCAGTCCGTGGTTTAGCGTCCTGTTGTGGCGTTTCCTGTTCTTCTGGATCTGGCATATTAAAGGACTTAATATGCTGAAGGCTGCGTTTGTACTGGACACCTTGAGGCGATCGCAACACCACCTGGTCCCCATAACGAGATATCACCTGATATGGTTCCTTCTCATAGCAAGGTGACAGCTTATTTTCTTTCTTCTTCTCAAGCAGAACACTGTCTCCTTCTTTCTTATTTCGATCTCTGGCATGGAACTTCTTGTCCACATAGTCCTTGTTAAACTGCTTTCTCTGATTGTCCCGATCACGAACGGCTTGGTCGCTCACTTCTAGCTCCTCCTCTTCAACGTTGACTAGCTCAGGCATTTTAGTTGTTAGCTTTCTCCTAAACAATAACTCGGCGGGACTCTTTCCTGTGGTTGAATGTGGCGTGGACCTGTACGCCAAAAGAAACCTGTTTAGTTCCTCTCTCCAATTCTGTCCTTCTGCATGGGCTGCTCTCATGGACTTAAGAAGCGACCTGTTTTGCCTCTCTACCTCGCCATTAGCTCTTGGCCATAGAGGTGTTGTGTAACGGTGTTCAATCCCCATTTCATTCAGGTAATCTTCTACTTCTTTGGATACAAGATTTGAGCCATTGTCGGTACGCAGACCTTTAGGCAACCCATGTCTTGCAAATTGGGCATCCAAGCAATGAATGATGGTTTTGCTGGAAGTTGTTCGGATAACATCAACTTCTATCCACCGGCTGTAATAATCAACGAGAACTAACAAGTGTTCTCCAGAAGGTAACGGACCCATTAGATCCACAGCTACTTCTTCCCATGGTTTGTTGGGTAACGGTGTTGACTTCAATGGTGGGGGTGGAACGTTCTTTGTAACCATCTGGCACCCGTAACACTCTGCACATCTTTTCTCGGCATCACGATCCATAGCAAGCCACCAGACTTTTGTTCTAAGTCTCTCCTTTGTCTTTGTGACTCCTTGGTGCCCCTCGTGTGCCAAACTAACGACTCTCTTGCGAAGTGCTTGGGGTATAACAATTCTTGTCCCCCGGAGAATTACATGGCCAATAAAAGTCAACTCATTGCGCACTGGCAAATACTGCTTTGGGGCATTGTCCCATTTCCCTTCGATGAGACAATTTCTGAGTGCTTGCAACTCAGAGTCTTGTGCTGAGACTTGTTCAATCTCTTTGATTCTCAATGCAGCGGGGACAGCATGTAGAGCTATCGCGCGTATATATCCATCATCTTCCGCGGAATTGTCTGACGCCGGTATCTTCGTCAGTCGGGAAAGGGCATCTGCGATGTTTTTTCTTGAAGGCACATAGCAAACTTGATAGTTGTACGGTTGTAAACGCAGAACCCAGCGCTCTATTCTGGCTGAAGGTTTAGACTTCCTGGAATAGATGACTTTCAGTGCTTCATGGTCTGTCACCAGATCAAACTGTGGAAGCCCGTACAAGTAGAGGTGGAAGCGTTCACAAGCCCAGACTAAGGCTAGTACTTCCTTTTCTGTCTGACTATAACGACGCTCCACTTGACTCAAACTACGACTAGCATAACAGATGGCACGGCTTTCCCCATTCTTTTCTTGCACCAGCACGGCGCCAAGTCCAACAGGACTTGCATCAGCAATAACACGGGTGGGTGTGTCCTTATCGAAGTAAGCTAGGACTGGTGCACTTGCAACTTGACTCTTCAATCTCTGAAACGACTGCTCCTGCTCCTTGCCCCAAACGAACGGTTCCCCTTTTCTTGCAAGTTTTCTGAGGGGATCAGCAGTGGTAGCAAAATCGGGTATAAAATTGGCACTGAATCCAACGAGCCCCAAGAAGCTACGGACTTCTGAGGGTGTCTGAGGCTGACTTGCCTCTGCAACTGCTCTGACTTTTTCCTCCGTTGGGCCGATGCCATGCTTACTCAGCAAAAGACCCATGAATACCACTTTAGTCATTCGGAAAGTGCATTTTTCAGCATTCAAAGTCAGCTGCTTCTCACTAAGACGTTGCAACACACTGTGTAAGTTCTTATCATGTTCTTCAGTGTCTCGACCATGAACGATAAGATCATCTGCTATGTTTGACACCCCTTGTAGACCTGCCATTGACTGGGTGATGATATGCTGGTACTTCTCTGGTGCGGCATTTACACCGAAACTCAAACGTTTGTAGCGGAATATACCATCATGGGTGGCAAAAGCAGTGATATCCCTTGAATCAGGATCCAGCTCAATTTGGTGAAAACCCCACCTTAAATCTAACTTCGAGAAAACACCACTCCCATTAAGACTTTCAAGGACTTCATCTATGGTTGGTATGGGCAATCTTTCCCGAATAATGGCCTCGTTGGCTCTCCGCATGTCGACACACAACCTTATGTCCCCGGACGGTTTAGGAGCAACAACGACTGGGCTTACCCACACCGTAGGCCCCTCGACTTTCTCAATTATGTCCTTTTCAAGGAGTTCGTTAACCTTGGCAGTTACTTTTTCCTTTACAGAAAAAGGTACTCGTCGCATTTTTTGAACGACTGGAGTTACACTGGGGTCAATGTGTAGCTTCAACTGATAATCTTTAAGCTTTCCAATTCCCTGGAATACACTGGGGTATTTTGCTTTGAGTCCTCCCACGAAGGTACCATCAACAGTGTTACAGTCTCCTGTCCCAAGAGTTCCCGAGAGATCCACACGAAGGATTCCAAGATCTGTGGCGGACGAATATCCCAGCAAACAACGCCCGGATTCAACAACAATGAAATCTGCCACAACCTTTGCTTTGGGTACGGAAACTTCTGTCTGAAACTGGCCCTCAATTTTAAGCTCTCGACCCCCATAAGCATACAATCTCTTCAGACAAGGTTTTAATTCAATCTTGAGCCCCTGATACTTAAGTTCCTGCAGTGTATCTTTACTAATGAGGTTACTTGCAGAACCTGAATCAATCAACACATCTCTGCTGATTCCACCAATCTTCACTGAGATAACGGGTTCAGAGGAATTTGACATAGCACATGTCTGTTCTTCTATAGTAAAAGCAAAACTGTCATCCTCACCTGACTCGTTACAATGACCCTCAACATGATTTGCCTGTCTCCCCTTACCATGACGCTGCTGTCTGCCTCCCCGTTGTTGGTTGTTACCTTGTTTTCCAGGCTTCGAGTTCCTTCCCCCTTTGCAACAGCTGGCATAATGACTATATTTACCACACTTGCTGCACTTGCGACCTCGGGCGGGACAATTTGTACTTTGGGCAAAATGACCTTCTTTACCACAGTTGAAACAAACGCTTTTCCCTTTGTCTCCACGCCCAGGACGTTCTTCAACTGCATGAGTACCTGCTCCAGGTTCTTGGCTTGGCATGACCATTTGACCTGCCTGCTCGTGTGAGGCTTCCCACTTTCGAACTTTATCCATTGCTGCTTGCAGAGTAATATTAACGACTTCCAATAGCTTCTTCTTTAGCTCAACATTAGGCAACTTTTCAATCAATTGATCCCGTAAATTTTCTTCCAAAGTTGGACCAAAATTACAATGACGAGCTTGTTTACGTAAACGAACCATGAACTTATCGGCGGTCTCTCCCTTTGTCGGCGTAAGTTGACGAAAGACATGACGCTCGTACGGTACATTGTCCTCGGCTCGGAAATGAGCATCCAACTTTCGCAGACACACCACATACTCATTATCCTCGTTAGCATTCAGTGGTCCAGGATCTGGAATATCTTCGTAAATATCTTGTACTTCCATACCTGCTAAATGAAGTAACTGAGCTGTTTTCCGAGAAGGATTCGTAATTCCCTTGCCATCGATGTAATACTGATACGATCGTTTCCACTGTCGCCATCGTTCCGCGACCTGAGAGGAAGACCCTGTTAAATCTAGAGGTGGAAGCGCCCTTTCTACTGAATTCGCCATCCTCGTCGCCAATTTGTAGTGTCTAAAAATGAAGAAGTATGCCACAAAAGGCAGCCACGAAGGCGAACAACAACAGTACACACAGTACACGTTTCTTTAATAATCTTCCCGCGCTCACACTTTCCCGGATGTATACTTTTACATAAACAACCGCTGTCCTAGTATACTACACCCGCGAGTTTGTTCGCACCACATATTTGCGGTCCACATTTTAATTCTCAGATGTTTGACGGGTCCTCACATGACAGTAGTGTCAAAATCAAATTACCACGTCAGACTTAATGTAAACATGGACATCGCTCACTCAATCTCATTTTATTTCAATTTTGGGAAAGGCTACCACTTCGCTCTCAGGCTAAAACAACACTTCTTCGACAAAGCGCGATTTTTTTAAATGAACAGAGTAAATCCTGCGATAGTTGACTGAAGAGAGAAGGAGGTAGAAACTTGCCCTCGCCGTTCGCTATAATTTGAAAGCTTTCTAGGTAAAACAAAATCCGTGAGATAACTTCTTTTCCATTAACACCACGACTGTATTCTAAACGACAGGACAAGAAATACCTTGAAGAATACGAACACTTTGAAATGTTATTCGAGCGATGAACCGGCGCGAGGGTTTTTCGGCGATGAAGGCTAAATTCATTGTTTTACCGAAACGTGATTTTAATTATAAACTGAAGCTAGTATCAAACGACGATTGTTAAAAAACGTTTGAATTTTCTGGGCCTTAGCGTTAGAGAAAACCCAGATAAGACACGACTTACCTCGTCTTTCTCGGATGCTTTGTAGTTCGCTTCTCATTGTTGATGACCTCTTCTCAGTCTGTTTTCAGGAGCGTCTTTGTATTTCCTTTTACCGTAATTCAACCGTATTGGTGTCCTCTCTAACTTTCTTGCGCGTTTTCTCGACTCCCTTTACGTCTTTTACTTCTTGTTTTTTTTTTGGTCGCTCGTCTCTTTCTTTTCATCCTGTTTTCACTCAAAACCCTCTCTCCACAAACTTGAATCATAACAATTTCCTCCCGTTGACAACGCTTTAGCTCTGCTGGTATTGTTGCTCAGCGAGTTGATTAGAATTTGCGAAATACTGAGAATTACTGCTCAACTACAACCTCACCAGTTTGATTTCGCGCTCAAAACGCAGGTTGCAAATTATTTGCTTACGCGGCTTCACATCCACTAGCCCACGTGAAGCCCTCGTGCAATGCCTAGCCGTGTGCCTGCGGTACGCTACACTGAAGCTCGACACTCGAGTATGCGCACTTCATTGTCATCTGCCGGTGTTTCCTGGCGCACACTCATGGGGTATCCAAGTTACGCGCGCAATCGCGCCTGCGTATTACCTTCTCCCTCGTCCTTCCATTGCGTAATGGCTAAGATAGTGCCCGTTGTACAGTTGGCCGCGCATGCGAAAAGTAGCACCTTGTATGGTCGGTCGTACGGTCGCACGTCCAAATTTTTTCGGCTTGATGGGTTACTACTATTTCGTATAATTATGGGGCTACGCTGCGCGCGCTTCGCGCTAGGTACATCATCAGTATCATCATCAACAGTGTCTCTTGTCCCTTTACAGTTCTGCTTAACATGTTGGTGATAATGGCCGCGAAAAGAAGACCTCGACTCCGAACCAACAGCAACATCTTGCTTGCCTGTTTAGCGGTGGCTGACGCATTAACTGGTCTCTTTGGCCAACCGTCATATGTCCTGTGGAGGATATTCCTAATATTTGGCCTCAGTAGCAGTGAAACACTTAAAAAAGTTAATGTCATTGTTATGACCACACTTGCGTATGATTCGTGCCTTCATCTGATGTTGATTACTTTCGAGAGGCTCATAGCGATCAAATTTACAATGCAGTACTCTAACGTTATAAATGATAACAAGCTGAAGATAACAGTGTTATTAATTTGGATTATTTCTCTTATGTGTAGGATTTCTGTTGTGTTGAAAATTGATCTTGTAACAATTTCGATAGGAAGTCTTATCACAACATCATGCATCTTTTTCGTCGTCTTCTCATATGTGATTTTGTATTGTGAGACCTGACGTCAACAAAGGAAGATAAAAGCACAGCAACTGCCCCAAGAGGAAGTGGAAAGATTTTCCAAAGAGAACAAAGCACTCAAAACAACTGTGTTTGTAGTTGGTGCTGTTATTGTCTGCCTTCTCCCACTTGGTTTCTGTCTGGTCGTTTTAACAACAGGCCTTTCTGATATTTGCCCTATCAACGAGCCACTCTGGCAAACCTTTGCGATGTTGAACTCGCTGTTTAATCCGCTAATTTACTGCTGGAGACAAAAAGAAGTGAAAAGCTTATATTGAAAGTAAGGAAACAGGTTGTGTATCCAGCTATCCAGTGAAGAAGAGAAAGACTGACATTCTTGCTTATCATTTATGTAAACTTATGCATTGAAATTGACCCGATAAACGAAACTCGTTTGTTATTGCTTATGTTATCATTATGGCAATAGCTTCTAACTAGTATGCATTTCGAATGAGCTTTAGATAACCGAAAAAGAAAAGCAAACATGGCCATTTATAGCGAAGAATGTTATGGATGCTCAGCCGTGCGTTCATGAGAATTTTAAGCATAGTGGCTCCTAAGGAAATAGATAGGAATTGCACCCGCGATATGTCATACTGAAAAATGATGGCCAGCGCAAAAGGCGACACAGCAAATATTCCTCTGGACGTTTGTACTGATCAATATCATCATTATCATCGTCATTTTCTCCCTCACAGTTCCCTTGAACGTGCTGGTAATATTGCCCGTGAAAACAAGACCTCGACTCCAAACTAACAGCAACATTTTGCTGGCCTCTTAAGCGGTGACTGACGCATGAAATGCTCCTCTTGGCCAGCTATCGTATATTCTGAGGAGAATACTCCAATCATCAGGTCTCAACAGCAGTGAAACAGTTCAAATTTTGCATTTCAGTGTTATGGCTACATTAGTGATAGTTTTATGAATTCACATAATGTTGGTTGTTGGTTACTCTTGAGAGACTTTTTACCATCAAAATTATTATGCAATGCTCAAACTTAGTCATTGATAATAACATATGGATGGCAGAGCCGAATTGTAGTTTGGATAACTAATTTTACATATGGCATTTTCATGCGTTAATGATGTATTTAATTCTACTTTCTATGGCTGGCTTTGCCACTATTTTGTGTATTGTTTTCGTTGCCTTCACTCGTATGATTTTGCATCATGAAACACTTCACCATCAAAGGTAAAAGCACAGCAACTGCCTGAACTCGAGAAGTGGTAAGATTTACCAAAGAGAACAGGGCGAACTGTGTCTGTAGTTGATGCTGTTATTGTCTGCCTTTTTCCAACATTTTATGTCTATTCTTTTTAGATACGGGCCTTTGTAGTATTTGCCCCATCAAAGAACAAGTGATACAAACTTGCAGCATGTTAAACTCGCTTGCTAATCCACGGATCTACTGCTGGAAACAAAAAGAAATGAGAGAGAGCTCGTATTTAGAAGAAGAACCCAGATCGTTAATCTAGCCATCCAGTAAAGAAGAGAAATAAAGAAGAACTAAAAATCCTCATAATTTTATTTGCACACTTTGCTCACTAATTTTATAATCTCCTTTGTTGACGTTTCATAGGAAAACTATATTTTAATAGAGTTGATTCGTTTACCACATGCCACATTCTCGAAAGTATTACTACAAGTTCTGTACTATAAATTCTGACGTATTTGATTGGTAATAAGCCTCAACCTTTCTTTTTTTTATCAAACAAAGCTACCTTACATGAATCCGGTTCTTCACAGTTCTATGTAAGCAATGTTTGCAACTGAATGTTATCGCTTTGTTTGTATCATATAAATGGAAATATTAGTTCCTGTTTAATGGCCGCCATACAAAATAGGTGTTATTTTGTCGACAAAATATTTCGTTTTTTGTTTCATGAAGCTTAAGGCCAGGAAATTCTGATACGAGTATATGATTATAAAACCAATTACACTCCTCAACAAAATTTATGAAGTCCTCCCTAATTTTAAATTTTAATTGACTTCTTAAAAGACCTTTGAATGATTTTTCCAAACCTCCCCAAATTTTTATGACGAATGTTATTTATATTTGAAAGTGATCTTGTTTATTCCATGCTATTGTCATCGCCTTTAAACGCTTTTAATTGCCTTCCATTTATGACATTAATTTTTAGGGAAACTTAATAATTTGACATTTGAAGATCATTAATTATGGAACGCGATCTCTTTAATAGGCAACTCTAAAATTGGTAACTTGTGGTGTCAACACGGAAGAGTACAGGAAATTCAATTAAGTTTTTTTCCCTTTAGAACAATTTCTCTATTCCATTGTCATATTATGTCACATTTTTTCTGTTCTTGTAAAGTCAGCATTTGACACCTAACTTGTCGAAAGGGCTGGTACAAAAGTCATCTTGATTGTGCTTAGTGCGTGTTTCTTGCGTCCGATCCACCGCACACTTAGAACCGAATGGCGTTATTGTTGTTTTTTGTTTTCTTGGTTTTTTTCCTTCCTTTTTTCAGTCAGCTTATAATCTTACTGATCGTATATCGGTGAGCCAGGAAAAAGGGGAGGTGTGAGTGATTGTCAGCCATCACAAAAACAAGTTTGATTCGCCAACTATGAAAAGTAATAGAATTTTCTCAGAAAATATTGTGCGAAAAACGCCTTCTTAGCCAGCATTCTCTCCTATACTTTAAGTCAACCCTGTGTTGTGGAATACCTCAATTTCTAATTGCTCTCTTGGCTTTGATCTCCCGCCTAAATAATCGTAAGAGTGTAACCATTAAATGCACGAGAGCGGAGGGAGGATATGCGGTGGAAAACCGATGCTTCATTTGGTTTAAAGTTAAGCATTTCCTAAGAATAACTTTTCAGTCCATATTTACGAAACAATAAAACAAAGCAAATCTGCCATGAAAATGATTAGTGCATTATAATCAAACGGACTTCTTTCAAGCTCTGCTAGGAGTTAATCCCATAATGTAA